CCAACGGGTAATTCGACAGGAGCAGAGCAACATACAACACTTCCACAATAGATGACACCTTACACCAAACTGAAAACAGAACTGAACATATATACAGGTGATAATTATGATAACATAATTAGTGTCCGTGAAAACAAATGAGTGAGGAAGGCAGACGATGACGAGTCCAAAACTAACGTGATTGTGACCGTTATTTGATCGTTTCAAACGTGTCTAATAGGAACAATTCACCCAAAAATGTCAATTCTGACATTGTTTTTGAGAGAAAATGGATCAAATTTTAAGTCATTAATCTTATTAATAATCTGCCCTTACTCGTTCACGAGAGGAGTTGGAAAGTCTTTTAAGCCAGTTTAAAAGCAGTTACTTTTGTGCAATACAGAGTTCCTCAGAGAATGAAAGGACATTTGAGTCCTCAGGTCAGTGAGCACAGTGAACCAAAGCACATTAACTTTAATTCCTGAAGAGAGAACCTTTGGTGCTCCAGGTCTCCAAAACTCTGAATTAATACCAACACTCTGCCCAAGTCCATGACTCCTTTCAAGACGTCCTCTGGCCCTCTCCTATTTTAAATGCGTCCTCATGGACAGATTGGCATGCAAGTGTTTTTCTTTTTGTTGTGCTGCTTCAGTATGCGCAGGGCATCCGAAGGTCTTTTCTCATTGTTCAGTCAGGTGGATTGTTGTCATTATTTCTTTTCTCATATTGGAAACAGACGCGTGTTCCCCCGGTGAAAGCACACATTATTCAAAGCAGAGTACTTATTTGATGAGGCATGACACTTTCTACCATTTTAGTGATGTGGATGGCATAGAAATGTTTCAAAGTAAGATAGACCATGAGCAAATATAGGAATACACAAAATAAATGTTTTTAAAGTTATACAATAACTTGAAGTGTATACATTCCTAAAAATACACTATAATACATGAATCACGGTCCAACCAATTACCACCCTTTTCCGTAAAAAGCTGAATTGTTTGGTATCCTTGCAGGAAAAAAAAAAAAACAGCATATGATGTTCTTGGATGCTGACATGCTGGTCACAAGGTTACTTAACTATAGCCTAACCAGCAAGACTTCCTATTGGACTGATTTTACCCAGTTACTGACTTCAACCAACTAGACCCCGAACCAAACTAGCACTAACCAGAAGAAGAAAAAAAAACCAGCCTGGAAATTCATACTGCTCTAAGCTGGTCTTTTCAGCAAGGATTTTCATGAATGTAGTATGTCTAGGATTTGCATCCTGAAAATGAACATGCTAAATCCTGCATGCCAAATTTTTATTTAATATGTGCCTCGCCAATGTGATAATCGCTCCCTTGGAACCAACATTCTCAAAGTAGCAGATGCATTAATCTTTATACACTATCTGCGTGCACCATCACGGATGTCACTTTGGCCTTTGAAGAATATGTGTGCTTTGATGGCACTCATGAACATGGAAGTGCCCTCCCATCTCTGTGGAGAATGAAATAAGAGTAGCAGCATGGACACGTGCTACCATATTTAGGAAAAAAAGACGCCCCGCACAGCAGAATAATTTTTCTGCTTCTCATTACCGTTCTGTGAAGGGCTGTTCAAATGCCATTAAATACATATTTATATGTGTCCCCCTCTCTCCAATCCAACTCCAATGGATTTTTCCCTGTGAATATGGATTTAACTGTGACTTTTAAAGTTTATGATAGGGGAATGTTGGTGTTGGACTGTAATGATTTTTAATTAAAACATCAACGCTGTGTTATATCACAGTATTAATCATAAGCCATGCATAGAATAGTGACAATTTCAACATTTTTCACATGGATCTATGAAGTCATCGTCTTTAGTGGGCAAGGCCTGCATTCAAAACATATTTTGTAGCCAGATATGTCAAAAAGATGGTCTTTTATTTATTCTGTGTAGCAATTATTTTTAATCTAATATGCATTTTTCTATCGGCTTACTGGATTGTTGTTGCTTAGAATGCAAGTCTTTATACATTCGAAGTGTCACAACTCGAATACCAAGCGTCTTTTATTAGTCTTATTTTCTGAACACGTAATGTATTCGTTGTTGTAATGTGTGCTTGTTTTAACAGGGTTCAACAACACGTCTCTGAGATGGCGTTTGGTTGAATTTCCTTTTACAAACTTTGAGAGTTTGAGACGGACCCATAGTGATCTAAAAGATTTATGGTGTTTTCTTCTTATTTTCACATCGCTCCCTCTCTCTCCCAGCATCCCTATTCCCCCAACCTTTCGACATATAGCCAAAGCCAGATATTATTCTGCTTGGCCTTGGGGCATGAAGACAAAGTCATAAACAACACACACACTGTTTCCTCTGCTCGGATGCTTTACAATTAAATGTCTGTCATTTCAGTTTTATGCATTGGTCCCGCTTCTTTAAACATATTTTAGAGGTTTTTTTTTTCTCTGATGGTTTAGCTCATCATCTTTCTTGCCAACCCCCATCCATCTCATCTCGTCTCGTCTTTTTTTCTCTGTTTTCTTATCTAGGAAGATACAGTAGCTCTCAGAAAAGAGGGTATTGGTGTAGTTCTTGATTCCCAAATGCCCTATTTAATCTGCATTGATGAAGATCTACTCAGCACAGGGGTTGTTCTCTATCATTTAAAGGTAGGCAGCACCTCTTCATAACGTAGGGCCATTGACGTGATGTTGCTTGTCAGTTTTTTGTCAAAAACTGGAATATTGATTGAATCGATATTTGCTGTTATGGGGTTTCTAAACATCGCCTGTTCTGCGATTTAGGAAGGTAAAACTTCAGCTGGGACTGGAGGAACCGAGCCAGAGCAGGATATAGGTTTGTATTCTGTCCGCATCGATTTTGTTCCTGACAGGAAGCTGTCGGCAATGTCAGACCCTTTTTCATTTTGAGCTTTCTCTGTTTCGCAGTTCTCCACGGTGAAGCTCTTCAGAGGGAACACTGTGTGTTTGAGAACCAGAGAGGAGCGGTCAGACTGGTGCCGTTACCAGGAGCCAGATGTGCAATCAATGGGGTGGAGGTGACCCAGCCATACCTTCTGACCCAGGGTAATAAACTATTATGATTAAAAAATTATTCATTTTAAAATGCTTTACTTTTGACTAGTTAAAAGGGTGTTAGGCATAATATTATCGTTCAGTATTATCAATGTTATCGACTTTTTTCCGTTTAAAGTCGGGAATTTCTCTTATTAGAGTCTCTTATGCTCACAAAGATTTATTTGAACAAAATATACTGTGAAACTGTAATATTGTGAAATATTATTACAACTGTTTTTGTTTGTTTTTACTATATTTTAAAATTGAATTTATTCCTGTGGTGCAAAGCTGAATTTTCAGCAGTCATTACTCCAGTCTTTAGAGTCACATGATCCTTCAGAAATCATTTTTAATATGCTGATTTGTTGCTCAATAAACATTTCTTAGTCAAGTCACCTTTATTTATATACGATACAAATCGTTTCAAAGCAGCTTTTCAGTTATAACAGGAAAATGATGCATTTTGGCTGTTGTTCGGCTGAAGTCAGTACAGTGTTGATTCAGTTCCATTGTAAAGATCATCAACAGATCATTTCATATATAAAGCAGTTCTGCAAAAAATTATGTCATCGTCCAGCTCAGTTCAGTTCTCATTCAACAGCATCAGTTCAGTCAGATCAGTAATATTGTTGAATATTAAGCGTCCCCAACTAAGTAAGCCAGAGGCGACAGCTGCAACTGTTATTATTATCAATGTTCAAAACAGTTGTGCTGCTTAATATTTTGTGGAAACCATGATAAAAACAAAAACAAATCTGTATTCTTTGATGAGTAGAAAGTTTAAAAAACAGCATTTATTTGATATATTAAAAAAAATATAAGTAACAATGTACATAACAGTATGAGTTTCTACTGTCACTTATGATCATTTTAATGCATTCGTGTTAAAAATTTTATATAACAATAAGTGCTTCTGCCAAGTAATACAGTGGTATACCCTGGCTGTAGGCTGTTTATGTTACACCATGCGAGTCAAAGACACAACACAGTGGCTTATTAATAAAATAATTCAGTACATGCAGTATATGGGTACAGATTTGTCTTTTAGCTATTTACAGCAGCTTTGAATTGGAGTCATCCAATCAGATTTGTTGTCATACCTTAACTGTACAAGCAAACAAATTTTGAAACAAATATAGAAAATATGAATCATGTCAAACTCTGGTTTTAACTGGAATTCAAAGAAGCTCTTTGAGTATGCCTGCGTCTTGCCACTTCAGATCTCCTCTCTACATTCCAAGGCCCATGGAGTGCAACAGTCCCGCCCTACTGCTTCTATCCTTGTACATGTCCACCAGCGTGACTCTCATCTCAGAGTGAGACTCGTGGCACTTCCAGAACAGCCTAACATGACTGAGGTTAAGACTCTGGCGGACAAAGCACCCGACCCGCAGTTAATTGGCTGATGAAACGGATAGAGTGCAGAGGGGTTTTGAAGTGCATGTGTGGGATTAACCTTTCGAAGAGGGTAAAACCTCCAGAATTCAGACAAAACAGGCTAGATCTATTCTGGGTGTAAGATTAAATAAAAAAAAAGGGAGAGAGAGAGAGAAGCCAACTAAAAAGGAGGAGACTCACAAGAGAGTGGGATAACCATGCTAGTCTCCTTTTCACAAATTTCAATTTGCCAATGTTCCCCTCTTTAGACACGGTGGCATCTGAAGCCATTTCTTTTGAACAAATGATAGTAATTTCCACAGCAACCATGGCCCAAATCCATCTGATGCAGGCCTTTCAAGGGCTTTGTCACCCCTTGGATGTCATTAATAGAGGCAAGATTAGTTTTTTTCACTCCAGAAAAAGGGAGGAGAAAAAGAGAGAAATGGCCATCTGCTTGGAAACCCATCGTTCTCACAATCCCCAGAGAAAGTTGTGTTTCAGTAACGTAATGCATAAAGTGTTTACTAGACAAGGAAAGAGACAGGTTGGCCACATGTTCAGGATTGTCTATTTTCCCATCTATCCATCATCATTTATTTTTGCCAGATTGCCTATATGTAGTTTTTATTGTAAATGTATACTGTTATTTACCATATAAGAATGAAATAGTATTGTTGGGTAAATTGTGTCGGTATATTGTTTAACAGATATTGCTTATTGCTGCATTTTTCACCATTAATGTTTATATTTCTGTTTGTCAGGTGTGAACATACAACTTGGAAAGGCCACCATGTTCCATTTCAACCATCCTCAAGAAGCTGCCCAACTCCGGGAGAAACGCAAGGTGGGGGGAAAATCATTCTCTTTTGAAGCTATTTGTGAAAAAATGATGTATTAAAACGCTGCTGGATAAAGGGTGAGCACAATTACCAACTTATGTTAAAAAATGCAAGTCATCAGAAACTGCTCTCAGTTGTAATTGCTATGCCAGTTGGCTGTGTGCTTCTCCATGCAAGGTAGAACAGGAGCTTTCTTCTTCAAAGAGGCACATATTCACTTCCCTCAAGCTAAAATTATGAATCCCTCTTGGTATGTTTGCAAAGTACCAGTTCTCTTTTTTTCTTTTTATCTTTTACACCTTTTTTCTTCATTTCCTCAGAGAGGTAAAGTAATTGTGCACCTCAGTGTCTTCTGATAAGAGCCGAACATGTCTCTGTCGTTGGTTTGCGAGTATGCACCTTCCCTTCCTCTGTTTTACTTTCTCCTCAGCCTCTGACACTCTCTCTAACTTTCCCTCCCTCTCTGTCTCTCACTGCTGTGACAGGTAATTAAATATTTCCTGACTGTTAAGTCTCTCGTTGTAAAGTTAGACAGCAGCTGTTTCCTCTTCTGTGCACGGAGATTACAGCGCCTTCTCTCTGCGTGAACTATTCTTACGCTCACAAACAACTGTTAACTTGCCTCACGGAGCTCTCAGCGGCACCATTCAGTCATTTTTGTTGTGCGAAACTTAGTTTTTACTCAAACTGCTCATTTCCATATTACACAATGCCACACAATAGTTTGAAGATTGCTTGCATAAACTAAATTCATCTGAGTGTTGTTTCCATTGATGTTTTGTGCCCAGATGAATCTTATGACTTAAATTTTATGTTAAGATGATGTAAAACTTAAAATGTGTATCAATTTGGAATGGTTATTTATTAGTGTAAATTATTAAGTGCCACGATATAAGTTTTTCTCAATTTTAGAGGAAATACCACCTTACATGTTGTTCACTCTTCAGAGAGTGATATTTAGTGATATTTAAGACAATTGATTTTAAATGCAGCTTACTGTATATATATATATATATATATATATTCATCTTTTGAAAACAAAGTTGCACAATTAATGTACATTAGGTGTTTCTTAAGAACATATTAGACTGATTCAGATGTCTAAACTTAATCATTTGTCATTTCTGAACCAGTATGACTTTCTTTCTTGAGTAGAACCCAAAAGTAGTTTATTTGTAGCATGCTTCAGATGCTCTTATCCATACAGTGAAAGTGAACCATAACCACAGAATGATTTTCGAGGAAAGATTTTAGTGTCTTCATGCATGGCTTCTGTTTTGCCCCGGTCACCTTCCATTTTCATTGTATGGAAAAGAGCAGCTCAGTCATTCTACTAAACATCTCCTTTTGTGTTCTATGGCAGAAAGAAAGTCATGCGGGTTTGGAACAACATGACAGTGAATAACTGATGACAAAAAAAATAATTTTGTGTGATCTATCTCTTTAAACTTTCATTAGCACAAAGACAGTTTGCTATAAAAGGTGTTTTATTTCCATGCTCATTGAGGCACATTGCAATCATGTTTACTAGTCTCCTTGCATTCTACTCTCTCATTTCGATCTGAATGATGGTGATTTGTAGTGTTTTCTAATAGCATGTTTGCTTTAATTAGTGTGCTGTAATTGCGGTGTGTTAGAAACAGATGTCTTTCAGTTGTGAGAGTGGTTTTTACCACAGTGCTGTGTGTCTATGGATGCTCAACCATCCATTTGTGTGTGTGTGTGTGTGTGTGTTCTCCCCAGTCTGGGCTCTTCGTGTCGAGTGACTCCACTGCGTTCTCCGTGGACACTTTCAGTCATTTCAGGTGAGTACACCTGCTGTGAGACAGACTGTGCCGTATCCCCATCCATCCTCTGATTCATTATGTTATATAACGTTTAGTCAGCACTTTAGCTTTATCTTCTTCCACAAGACATTTCGCACACCACTTATCCTGGAAAAAATTAACTTTTATTGCTTCACTTATTACTTTTTATATACCTAAACTTGGACTAGATAGATATAAAATGTCATATTTAGGACACTTACTTTCTTCTAGGATGAGATTTGAGACCTGTTCACATCTAACAACATGGAAGTATAAAATATTTTTTAAAAAAATTTGCAACTTCACATGCTGAATTTTGTCATTCTCTGAAGATGTGAATTGTTCATCATTCAACCAAAATAATTGACCTAGCCTCTGATGGGAAAAAAATTGCAAAATCCTCTGTTTTGTTCAAGTTTTTCAGTTAATGTTTGTCCTGGGACTGTACATTTAAGTGACAGTTCAGGTTTGTGTGAAAAACTAACTTAAAAGTAAACACTTTTGTCACTCTTTTTAGTTTAAACTGATCTTTTCTATATCCCTAGCCAACATTTTCAGTTCTGTTTTCAGGTTTTGAGTTGAATTTGACTAATTTCTTTTTGTGGCTCTTACTTGCAGTGGATTGCCAATACAGTGCTATATCAGATATGTACAATAACAAGTGTAGAAAAACAATTACATTACGATTACGGATTACGAATCAGTTTCAATAGTACATTGAGAACTCACGTTTAATGTGGTAGTTTCATTCTTACATCTACTATATCTATAATACAATATATTGTTAGTCCCGAGATTCTTCTTCACGCTAGTGAATAAATACATAGATCCAATACATAAAGACAGGTTTCCCTAGTGGTGGTAGAACTTTTCTTAAGCGTGTCAGAGGTTCCGGGTTCTAATCGGCCCTCGTATTGCTTTTTTTTCCTCATTAAAATCAAAGATGTTCATCAGTGATTGTATATCAAGAGCAGGGACACATTTGTGTGCATTTTGTTTTGTGATTTCACCAGAAAAAATAGAGTCTCCGCAACGGCATTAAGCGATAGATTGACGCACTCGCCTGTGTGAAGACTGAGCACGAGCCAAAAGAGAACGTTCCGCCACTGATAACAGCTGCGAAGAAACCTCAGCATAATTTCCAAAACAACGCATTACAGCTCCAGATCGCCTCTTATTTAACACAAATGAACGTCAACTGGATGATTGATTTGAATTGGGTATCCATGCAGCGAGATGTTTCAAAAAAGTGGTAGGGACATGTCCCACCCGTCCCATTTGCAAATTACGTCTATGGTAACTAGTCATGTTAGTCCAGGGGTGTCCAGTATTCCTGCAGAGTTTAACTCCATCCCCTGTTAAATACACCTGAACCAGTAATCAAAGTCTTCAGGATTGCTGGAAATGTTCAGGCAGGTGTATTAGAACAGGTTGAAGCTTAACTCTGCTGGACATTGATCCTCCAGGAGCAGGATTGGACACCCCTGTGTTAGTCTGTTTAAGAATTTCCACACACATAAGAAAGTTTGATGATAAAGAGAATAAGACATGTGGACAGCTAGAGAGGTTCAGGCTGTTCTGTGTCTTGTGTGTCGACAACTATGACAACAAAGAAAGCTCCCAGTCTCCCAACTCCCAGCTGGGAGAGTTCTTTCTGACGTGCCACTGTTTGCAGCTGGAGCCTGGAGACGTCATGCATCATCTGTGAACCTCCGGGCTCTTCACATGTACACACAGTCTATGTGTGGCGCTTTAGACGCCTTCGGCAATGTTCTGCACGCCGTTCCCCCTAATTGTTCCTTTGTCTGTGTTTACAAAATGTTTTGTTTGTTTGGTCGTCTTTGGCTTTGTTGTTCAAAGCTTTCTATAGATAATGGATTTGTGTGTTTGAAGTGAGCACTGCAAGCCTAGCTGATTGCTAATTTATTTTGTTCTGGCTTTCATGTGATAGACTGTGGATTTGGTTTCTGCAAAAGCATCAGAATGGAAATCCAATAGGATTTGATGCATGTATCAAACATGGCTAAATGATCAGCAGAGCAAAAAAGAAAACCATTACACTATCCAAAAATGCTTTAATTTATGAGTCAGTTTTGTACTATATATTTATATCCTGCTCTGTACAGATTTGCTGGGCAAGACAAAATAAAAATTTTGTTGGTCTCCATTGGCCCTGATTCATGTGTTTGTCATTTTGTAGTTTTACAATTTCCTAAGGAAAGCTTACAAACATATATCAATAGCTTTAACACTACAACAACAAGAACATTACATCTACTTTGATTACAACTGATTCAGGAACCTTTTTAAGACAAAAAAATACTTTTTTCCGTCAACGGGCAACCAGATGAGATACAGGGCTCACGACCGATCTATATTATCCAGATAGAAATGTATTGTCCATTTTCAATGGGAAAGTGCCCAAGCAACAATCGCTCAGCAAGATTGCCCAGCAACATTGCTCAAAAAGTGCCCTGTGTATCATCACCTTTAGTCTTTTGTAAAATCCCTTGAAAGGGTCAAACGGTTAGTTCACCCAAAAAAATTATTTCTGACATTAATTACTCGCCCTCATGTCGTTCCAAACCTGTAAGACCTTCGTTCATCTCAGGAATGACAAATTAAGATATTTGTGATGAAACAGATGCTTTTCATTTGCTTTTAGTGAAACAGATGCTTCTCACCTGTTCTGTCGTTTCTTTCTTTTTGGGGCTTTTTGATTATGTACATTCACAATTTAATTAAATTTTCTGGATATTATGTAGAATAACAACATATGAAGCATTCAGGAGGCTCTAACTGCTATTTTATTTTCACTCACAAAAGTTCCCAAGGGCTTACAAAGGATTTACATAGCATATGTCTTGGTAAAATTAGAGGGAAATGTCTGAGCACCTGTTCAGTCACATGTGCTCGTAGATCACAGAATGGGCCATGGTCAGGGTTTTGAATGCTGTTAGGGGGGATTGCTGCTTCATTTCCTGAAATGTGTTTCAGTGAGAAGGAAGTACATACAAGGTCTTCTGAAATTTTTACATCTTTTCCCTTTGTGAAATTTGTGCAGTGGGTCATGTCTTACCTTTAGGATACAGTTTTGTTTAACAGATTTCCTTCAAAAAAAGTGTTTTATCCCCACCGAATCCCCTTCTCTTCCTTTGCAAACAGAAGTAGTTTGCTTAAAAACTACTCCAGTAACTACGTTACAAAGTACTTTAGTATTATTTTTCTATTTTTACCCAAAATGGGGAGATGATAGCGATATGGAGCGCTAAACACTCACGTCATCCGTTTCATTCATACTGGAAGCCCAGTACATACTGATTCATCCCTCACGTAGAAAGTCCACAAGTGAGATTCATAGAAGTATTAAACTTATGACATTTCAGGAAATGCCTTATATGGATATAATAGCATGCAAATAGAGATGTTTTGACTGATGAAACATGAAGACAAACAGATGATAGTGATAATATATCTGTGTTCATCAAGCTATCTCAGGTATTTTCATAAGAATGATGTATGTCTTTAAAGGGATAGTTCACCCAAAAAGGAAAATTATCCCATGATTTACTCACCCTGAAGCCATCCTAGGTGTATATGACATTCTTCTTTCAGACGAATACAATCAGAGTTATATTAAAACATGTCCTGGCTCTTCCAAGCTTTATAATGGCAGTGAATGGCTGGAGAAAATTTGAAGCCCAAAAAAGTGCATCCATCCATGATAAAAGTGCTCCACTTTTACTCCAGGGGGTTGATAAAGGCATCTTGAAGTGAAGCCATCCGTTTGTGTAAGGAAATTTACCCATATTTAACTTTATAAACTATAATCACTAGCTTCCGCCAGACGGCCGTACGCATCGATTTACGGTGGAAGACCGACGCACAGAGTAATGACGAACGTGGAAGCTCAGAGGAAAGAGCTAAACAAAACACCGGTCGCGAATTAGCAATTTTGAAGAGAAATGTCGGAGGATTTCTATATAATAGAGGAGGAGCTTCAGTTTGTTGCACAGCCGTAAACCGCGAGAGGCGTCTAAGCTTAAGATACTCCTACATCCTACATCATACATGTGTCACGGGTTACTCTTATGGTGCAAGTCGAATTGCGTTGTATGCATACGGTCGTCTGGTGGAAGCTAGTTATTATATGTTTATAAGTTATATATTTATAATATTTATAAGTTATAAATATGAGTATTTTTCTTACACAAACGGATGGCTTCACTTCAAAATGCCTTTATCAACCCCCTGGAGCCGTGTGGAGTAATTTTTTTTCCCCACATTTTTTCCTGCCATTTACTCCCATTATAAAGCTTGGAAGAGCCAGGACATTTTTTTTTTTAATATAACTCTGATTGTATTCGTCTGAAAGAAGAATGTCATGTACACCTAGAAGGACTTGAGGGTGAGTAAATCATAGGCTAATTTTCATTTTTGGGTGAACTAACCTTTTAATGCAATGCTAATCAACATAGTTTGTATCATAGATATATTCTCACTCGGTGTTAAGAAGCAACATGAAACCACAGAAGTAATTTCAAACACGAGTCACGAGTGACATGTATTGTGATTTTGGAGCAAAACATGATATTAAACTCATAAATTGTAGTGTTTGACGGTATGCTAAGCAAACATACTAGTACGGTATGCTAAGCAACCACCCTGTTGTCAAGAGCGATTGTTTTATTACTAATTTTGAAAAGTAAGTCCAGGTAAGATCATTTGAATGTTTTCATTTGAATCATTTCATAATTGAAAGCAAAGAAGGTTAAGTGAGAGGTCCGATAAAAAAAGTTTTTTTTCCGTTCTACCAAAAATTTGCTGGGAGCCCACTGTTGCTAGTAACAAACTACACTTTTACATGCATCTGATTGACAGATAAATCATGCGATCTTATTTTGCTATTGTTAAGGTTTTTTCAGCTTTGTACAAAGTTTGCTTCGTACATTTAGTTTAACTGTATTGTTAAAGAGGGCGAGCTTTACCATTTAATTGAACTGTGTGCATGTATTTTAGACACATTGTTCTTGCTCCCCTCCGTCCATGCAATAACTGCGTCCATGTTATGAGCCGAGTTTTTTATTTTTCAACCGAGTTTCAACTGCTCAGTGCTCTGGTATTATCAATGGGATGACCCATTTCAGGAGTTGCCACAATTACAATTTTAAATCAGAATATGAGCAAAGCTCACTTACATTCACTGAAATATTGAAATGTTAGCTATACTGATTCAAAACGAGCGCCAGTAATAGATCGTAAATTCATACATCGTCACGTCTTTGCCCTGCCCACTGACGCGTTAGTGAGATGAGAAGGAGTGAAGGACATTACCTTCCTATAGGATCCTATAATGGATCCTATAATGCTATGAAAGTGTTTATTTATTTTCACAGTGTTTCAGTAGAGCATTATTTGTTTCACATTTTACTGTGGATTCTCAGTCTCAATTTCGCGCAGACTTTTATGGTAATATTAGCCTGGGAAAACCCAGACAACTTCCAGCAAATTTAGATTTGCTCTGAAAGTTAGTCTGGCAAAGAGCTCATTCAAGCCCATTTCCAATCCGTCGAAATCGAGGCACCAATCAGAAACGTTGGGGCGGGCTTTACACGATGACGACAGCGCTGGGATTTTGAAGCAGATTTTGTAGCCTACATTACAAAGATGGATGCCGCCGTCGAACATCACTCGTTCGAATCAGCTATCGCGTCTGTTTTAAGCGATTTGAACGTTTCCTTTTTGTTAAAAACCGAGCAAAGAACAACACTCGGAGATGTTTCTCCGCCGCTCTGCATACGTCTGCTCCTTCATCGCTCTGATTGATTTTAGGTCTATCCGCGACGTCCGTTGGTGACGCCCCTCTGGAAATGATTTGTCTATGACACTTTTCCAGACCATAACTCAGTTACAACTGAGAATGGTCTGGTTTTAACCAGGCTATGGTAATATATGGTCCGGACAGTAATGCCACTGCATAAGTAACTGTTAATTCTGTGATCAGTGCTTTCTGATATGTAATGATTAATGTCAGACAGTCAGACAGCCTTTGTCTCAAAATGTTTATTGCTGTCAATGCTTCAGTAAATCAAGCCAGTGACTAAACAGTCAACTACACATTGTTTATCTTAGTAGCGTGAAAATTGTGATAAAATTATATACAGGAAGCGATCAAAGAACCCTCACTTTATAATCATTGGATCTGTCTATCACACAGTGTGAGTTTATCAGTGACTGAGTTCTGGACTCTCGCCAAAACTCCCGTTATAATCAATGACGCTGTCTAAACTGCACAATGATTCTCTTATTTACATCATGTTTACACTGTTAGGTGATAAAAGTGAAAGCTTTTCATTGCAATGAAGGCTACAATGTTCATTGTAATAGTTTGGTTGAGCATCCATAGTATGCAAATATCTTAGCCAATCATAGCAGTGGGCATTTACATTGAAGTCTCATAGCAGACTTCCTACGTAGTGTTCAAATCAGAGGGCTAAAATTAGGGCAGAAAATGAATGACCTTTTATTTCTAAATTCAGACCATTTTTGATGTAAAAATCATACTAACATTTATAAGTGCACCTCAGGAAACAAAATATTAAAATGCTGTTTATGACCCCTTTAAATATCTGGAATGTTAATTGAAAGGTTGGTTAACTTTGCAAGGACTGAGGATCTGTTTTGTTGTACAAGAGCAAGGCATTTAACCTCGAGTAAAAAAAAAAAAAAAAAAAAAAAAAAAAAAATTGGCCAAGTAGTAAAAATGCCAACTTGTTGGTAATGGTGAGGCTAGGTTAACAGTAATGTGGTTTTCATTCACACACTGATTAGTATATGGAAAATAGCATGCTTATTTGTGGAACAACAAACAACAATATCAAAAACTGCTGGAAGCCAGTCACCAACAATCAAACAACAATATCAAAAACTGCTGGAAGCCAGTCACCAAGAATCCAACTATGTAAACTCAGAGGGTGACAGAAAGACAGCAGAGACCTAGAGAGGGAAAAAATCACAGACAGGGCATGGTGATGTATAGAGACTAGAGATGTGAATTTACAAAAGACAGTCCAAAAGGAGCCACACTGCTTGGGTAGAAGCCTAGAGGATGTGTCTTTGTGGCACCAGTCAAGGTTCAAAATTTCAATCTCGTATCTAATGCTGTGCATTGTGCCTGTAGTCTGGAGCCTATCTGACCTATTCTTATGACAACCATGTGTATTGAATGCACTAAATGCTGTAAAATCAGTACTAATTTTGTTCTTACAAATTACGATTCCTTAGTAAAATGATTTATTGCATTTTTGAAAGATCTATGCTTCACCTTTTTACTAGCCTGGATGCCAGCCCGAACCCCGCCCACAACATTTTTTGGTCGGGAAGTTCAGTCTGGACTCGATCCATTGAGGAGTAATTATGATCGGTTCAGAAATCGTCGGGCCAATCAAATTGCCAGGGCGGGCTTTATACGATGATGGACAGATGATCTGCAGTTACGTAATCATCACGTTATCAAAGAGCGCTTGGGTTGAACTGGTTTCCCTCAAAGGTGACTGCAGCTGGAGAATTGAGATGTATAGATTCCGCTATTGCGTCTGTTGTAAAAGAAATCGACAGCGCATTAATTTTAAAATACGAACAGAGAACTGCAATCAAGCCATTTGTCGATTGGAAAGATGTGTTTGCCGTCCTTCCTACGGGACTCGGCAAAAGTTTAATTTATCAGCTGGCTCCGATGGTCGCTAAAAAGATGGGACGCAATGAAAACCCTGCGGTCGTTGTGGTTTCTCCTTCGGTCGCACTCATAGAGGACCAAGTAAAAGAAGCAACACTCATTATTTTACTACTTCCAGTGTGCGTGCAGTTGAGTTCTGTTGACAACTATGCGTAGCTCAACATACGTCACTTGGTGCGTTGCTCTGATTGGTTGTAGGTCTATCCAATTGAGTGCAGAGTTAGTTTTTTTCCTGGTTCGGTTAAGACACACCTCATAATCAAAGCCCTATGGAGCAGTATCAGACTCACATTCTGACTAGAATATGAATATGATGAAGTCAGGCTACCTTTTTACATCCCTAACAAAGAAATGCTCTGTGAAATTGCCTTTGTGACCTGCATTGTAAAACATGTTGTATTTGCCTTTGTGTCTGAAATGCTCTCAAGCTCGAGTATAAGATCAGTACTCTGCTGTTGTTTTCTACTGGGGGAGTTTCTGACATTTTACAGGGTTTTGACTTGTACATGCTCTGCTATCCGACAAGTTGTGTACAAGGATCCATACATTTTTTGGCTTTCTGTCCAAAATCCTGTTGAGCTTGATGGAAAGTCGTCTTCGTTTCCCACCAAGCTGCTTTTCCATCCCTGTGCGAACTGCCTGAGGATGAAGTGCTTGTATGTAAATCCCCAAATCTACATGCACACATTCTATTTAATTTCACAGCTAGCTGAGTGGCCCTAATCACATCCAGACATTTGGGTCCTTTGCTATTCAAATCTAATAGACTCTTTTGGAGATGTGGGACATTGTGCAGTTTAGTCTTTTTGCCATCCCGTCTGTTGGAGGTCTCTTGTGTCATAACCGTAGCAAAAATAATTAAAATCACTCTTCAAAACAAAGACTACAGCATCGTGATTTTGAATATAAACCTAATTGCTTTGCTCTTTTGTGGCCATGCTTAAGTGTAAGAGGAAATGTGATTTTCCCCTCTCTAATCCTTGTAATATAAATACAAATGTTGAATTTCTATCTTGTTGAATCATCTAAAATGAAGAATGTTTTCCCTTACAGTTCCAGAAAGGTTTCTGACCAACCTGAAGGTGACGCAAAAGACTGTTGTTTCTCAGGAGAGAATCACAGGGTAAGCATGTGTTGTTAGCCTCCACTTGGTGCTTTTATTACTAGATCTGTTTTACTTCTGGATGAATTGTATGGATTTATTTTCTGCTATACTTTAGGTCTAAGAGAAAAATCAGAGTTGCTAACTTTTGTTTGTGGCTGACTGGGCAGTAGCTTGATTTTTATAACTTTTGTATGGGGACAGGTGATGTAATACACTGTTTTAAAAAACAAGCATAGATGGAGTTGACCATTGCCTGAAGGCAGTGCCGCTCCATCAGGGACCTAGTGGGAGCCAGAGCTGTTTTTATGTTTGCACTTGAAAATTAAAAAATGCTGAAATTGTCAATCAGAGGCTTCTGATTGAGCTGTGAACATACTGTTCTATTCTCGTCAAGTTATTTGATTTCAGCACAAAAGGAGGTCATTATTTTGTTAAGTTAACTCAGTGACTGTATGAATTTAGCCAAACAGTGTCTATCATAATTAATTAGACCCTAATTAATACAACTACTGTCTCAGTTAATAAAGTACAGTTAATCAAGTACCAGGGGCGTCACTAGGATTTTCATTTTAGGGGGGCTAAGCCCCCAATATGATTTTTAAACAAATTATAAAAAAAGGTAACACTTTAGTTTAGGATCTAAAGATCACTATTAACCATTTTCATTACGATGCAAAGGCACGGTTTTATAATAACTGTGGTCCCAAATGTGAGGCAGGGCAAATAGGGGGGTTCGGGGTCTCCCCGAGAAAATTTTGATTTCTCTGATCTACATATGTGCATTTTAAGATGTTCTGAAGGCCAAAAAACTTGGATAGTGGGCAGCTGACAATTTTTCTCTCCTCATCAGCAGCATCACTTTTTTTCTCTTTGTTTTTCTCTTGCCCTGTCTCTTCCCCTCCTAAAGCTGAGCTTTGACTGATATAGGCTTTTCATTTTTGTCTGTCAGTGAAGAAAGTAAACTTAGGGTCAACTGATAGGTTGATTTTGCCTATGAATCATTTTCTCAGACGCGGTTATTTACTGAAAGCTACTAAAGTTAATTAAGTTTATTAAATGCATTCACAATATGTAGGCTACACATTTATTATTGATCTTATGCCTAATACAGGGCCGTAGACAGGGCTTTATAATCACAGAGGTCCTAAATTTGAGATTGGTAGGGGGTTCAAATTTTTTATTTCTGATATGTGCATTTCAAGACGTTTGAAGACCAAAAAAAAGGATAAGAAATAGCTTTAAAACCATGTCAGTGGGCAGATTATTTGTCAATACCTCCTCTCTTCTCATCTCCATCACTCTTCCTTTTTTTCTCAGTCTCTTCCTCCCTTTCTCTTCCCCTCCTAAAGCTGAGCTTTTTTAATTTACTAAAGGCTACAATTTGTATTATATTCTCAATATGTACACATTCATTATTAATCTTGTGCCTAACATGATGAAAACGGCTTTGTTAATGTTTCTTGTAAACTAATTATTACATTACATGAGTTACACGAGTGTATAGGCCTATTTTCAGTTCAAAATGGCGAAATTAGACAAAACTATATTAGTTTGCCTGATTATTTTTTGTCATTCGTTTAACATTTATGACCTAAAAAAAGTAAAATATGATATGTTAAGTTTAGCTACTTACATCTTATCTCGCACTTGACCGTACGCGTCGAGTCCATAGACTGTAAAAAATGGTCGTGTCGCACTGTTAAAATTCGCGCTCAGCAGCGTCTGTGAACATAAAGCCCGCCTACTTTGATTTGATTGGTCGTCTCTGACATTGACGAGCAGTGACAGACCAATGAGGCTCAGATGAACACACAAATGAACACACACACCCTGTCCTCTGTTTCTGACGTGCTCTCTGCACGGCGCAGCTGTGGATTGAGAACGTGCTGAATCTGATTATAACAAGACTGAAGCGAACACGAATTTGTGTAGCCTACATTAATCTCACATTTTTAGGGGGGCTTGGCAGAAGTTTAGGGGAAGCCCCCCTAAAAAGGGCCTAGTGACGCCCCTGTCAAGTACACTACTGTCACAGTAAATAAAACAAGGGCATCAAAAGTGTAATGTTGATCCACTGTAATACCACTGATATTTTAGGTTAAACTTTAATTAGAGGTTATTGGGGTCGTTTCTTATTACCACAGAAACATGCTGTTCTTTTTGTTGCAAATATGGACTGACTGCATTATTTGCTTTCCATGGAAATAATTAAAATGCCAAATAATTCAAGTATAAAGGCCCCTTTTCCCAGTCCTAGCTAGCATTGATTTTGATGTATACATTTTTTACCTATTACATGTGTTTTACGTGGCTTTATGGCTACCCCCTGGTAAGAGAGTGCATCAAAGCAATGGCTTAATCATATTTTCATCTGTGGAAATGTAGCTAATACAAATAGCATGCAGAGCCTTTCTAACAAATATAAAGGTTCATAGAGTAAATGTTTCCAACCAATTACTTCTCACTGATTTTACTCCTGGCTCTTCCATTTATATTGGGTGAAGTGTTTAGTCCACTTAAACAGAGATAAACAGATGCAGGATAAACAGAAGTGAGCAGAAATGAGAAGTTATTTTCACAGCTTTTAAAGCCCAGTTCTGAGAGATGCCAGACAAGGTAACTATAATAAAAGAGTCTCAAAAACATTTGCATAAAACATTGATACATTTATTTAAATATATTAGAAAATGTAGTGACCTGGATAACTAAACTCTATTGACACTATTAATTTTTTCTCCTTACAGATATTTTCCTCATCTCTTACTCCTACAAACTTCATCTTTCCTCAAAACAAGACAGACAGTAGTTTCAGCGGCCCTTCCGGGTGTCAGCACGTTCCTGAGACACACAGGGCACTTACAGAACACTGTGTCACTAACAACCCAGAAGGAGATGCCAAAAGTCTAGGAAAGTCGCTTCAGACAAGTCTCAACATCCAGTGGGAGAAGCAGCAGTCAGCCCCTCATAAATCAGAAACTGAAGCTCCGTCAGTGGACGTGACATATAAGGAAACGAAGGGGGAGGAAAAAGGGGTGAATGGAGGGCTCTGGGATACTAGAATAATTCAAGAGTGCCGTAACGGGACCTCTGGGCTTCTGGATGTCGAGAAGCAGTATCTCTGTCACCCGATCGTGGGCTCAGAAGGGAGCTTGTTAGCTGAGGAGTCCCATATACAGAGCATGCACTCCGCCATGGGAGGAGGAGCAGCCTTTGTCCCCAGCTTGACTCGCTTGAAGCACTTTTCACAGAGGCATAGCCCACTTACCATGGAGGGCCAATTTAGCGAGCACATTTTATCCAGAATGTCTGTTGAGAGTCAAGAAGCCAAAGTCCATCCAGAAGGAAGGGGGCTCAGCTCTAGCCTGGGGAGCCTTGCAAGTAGAGTGTCCTGGATGCTGGCGGACGCAGGGCGTGTGCTTACAAACTCTTTGAAGGAACAAACCGGTGGTAGAGAAAGCAGTTGGTACAATCAAATGTGCTCAATGGTAAAGGATCTACCCTTTGTACACCATATCCAGTTAGAATTGACTCTAAGACCACAGGCAAAACCAACTCTGGAGGCAACCCAATTTCGACGCAATCTGTCTCATAGTGAGATATTGTCAGTAAGAAAACAGAGTGTAGCGTTGCCTTCCATGCAAGATCTGTCAAGATCCAGAACAGATGAATGGAAGAGCCCTTTGATGGCTTTGGAGACAACTCGGACAAGAGGTTCGGTGACCACCCAGATAAGTGAAGGACTGAAGGTATGCTGCCAAAGACTACACCCTGTACCTGAACCCTTGCTCCATCTCCAGAACCTTCCACCTCAACAGCTTCTCTCCTGCCTGCACAATGTCATCCCTGCCCACTTGCTAATGGAAGAGCGGGTGTTAGCTTTATACTGGCTCAGTGTCGCCACCTGTTCTCAACCAGATCCACAGCCTGCAGTTATTGTCCTTTTCCAGACTAAGCTTTTGGTGGTCACCTTTGATCCTTTGACTGATTCTTCCAGCCCCACACACTCTTTAAATGTTTTCTATGAATTATCTTTTGAGGAAATGAAGGAGATCCACATTGGTTTTGCTGGGCAGAATGTCAGACTGACGGGCATCACAGAGAACAGCATACTTACCTTGCACACTTGCAATGCAGTCTTAAGTCAAGAACTGTCCCGAACTTTACTTGAGGCTATTTGCCCTTTCGAGAGTGGTGCACTGGACCATCCGCTACTGTCAAGTGACATAGTATCTTTGTCCTTAGACTGGGACTCCCATATTAAGGATTTGCTACTACCCTCTGGTGGGCGCCTTACATGCTCTTTCCAGAAAACTCTTGCTAAGGTGGTCTTCCTGTTACATGGTAACATGCAGGGTGAACGTCCGGCACTTGCGCATGTACAAATACTTCTTTACACGACTGTCAGATTTCAGCGATCATGCCTCGAGCTGCACACTGACCCCATTGTACCTGTTTCACAGGTGGCACCAATAGAATCTGAGCTTGTCCAGCTTGTCCTGACTGACACACACCTGTGTCTCTTGCATGAGAATGCTGTTTATCACCCACCTCCACGTTCACTAGCTTTAGTGGCACCTCATGCCCAGTTCAGGATAATAGACCTGCGGCAGCGTTTGGACGTCCGTTGCGTGCTGGTCAGAGACGGATACGGCAGTATGTGTCTGGATGTGGTTTTGGCTCATGTCTACCGGAAATCCGGTGGTACTGGAGGTCACCCTCAACCTCCAGACGTCTTCAGTGCTGATGAGGCAGCTGCCCAATCTCCTACCAACTCTGATTCATCTCCCCGGAATGAAGTGTGGAAATTAACTTTCAGCAGCTCCGCTGAGGCCACCTTCCTGATTAATAACTTGTCAAACATTTGATCAAGGACCTTCCAGCAAAATAATTAACAGCCCAGTGAGGAGAATTCGACAGGCGACTACAAATAGGCTGAGTTCACCGAAAACATGACATGAGTCTGTGGCGCTAAGATTTGAGAAATATTTTGTAATTGTTGTGTTATTTTTTTACTTTTCCATGAAGTTTTATGACTAGCATTGTGATAAATTTGTCTGACAAAGGGATAAGTAAAGGCCACACACCAAAAACCGATAACTGTAACAATAACTACATTAGTGTCCACACCAACGCGCAGTATTGTTCTGTTTATTCTAAGCATGTGCTGCAGTTATGCATATGCTTGAGCTATTTAAAGCTGGTTGGATTCTGATTGGCTGTCTATGTTTTCAGCAGGAAAAAAACTTGTGAAAGTGATTCCAGCTATTTTGTGTTAGTTGTGGTGTCGATTCTGCTATTCTTTTTTGTTTAGAACGCTTTTTAGAACTATATTTTTATCGATATAGTTATCATCCTTGGTGTGAATGGGTCTTAGTCATTTGAAGTAGTGCCCATGATTAAGATCATAAATTCATAAGGCTGGTTGAGACCATTGACATAGTAGTAATGGTGTTTGTTGGGCAATATTATATGGGCAGATCAAAAATGATTGTTGATTCAGAGCACTGTATAATGGATCTATAAAAATCTATAATCGGATTAAAGAATCAGTACTCGACCTACATTTTCATGTTCGTTTTATTCAGTGGCAATTATAGAATCTAAAGTACGAGATTGCTTCAAATTCGCATTTGTCATGTTTATCCCTGTGCGTCACAGTATGCTTTTATAGTGTTGTTCATTATCTCAGATTGCACAGTTTAAGTTATATTGTTTCGGTTGAACAGTAATGTACCACCCAAACCTAAAAAATAAAATAAACGGCATAAAAAACAGCTTCTCTCTCTTTTCAAATTTCACACTCTTTTCTACCCTGTCTTTGACTCATAGCCTTGCTTCACAAAAAAATCATGTTGCATGCCTGCAGCTTCCAGCAGCTATCAGTATGCATCTCTTGAACTCGTCATGGTGTGGGGAGATTCCAAGTAGAGGGCTGCATTGGGATTGAGTCCCGCCGGGTCCCGCGGGACCCAACCCAAATCTCGCGGGAGCGGGCGGTTTGAACTTTGCTGCGGGCGGGAATGGGCGGACAAAAAAAACCCCTGCGGGATCGGGAGGTTGCCTAACGACATGATGGAGATGTCAATGATGTGGAAAAGAACCTTAAACGAGGTATTTACAGCACAAAACCTGAGCAAGGCAAGTCTGACATTTACTATTCATCTTCCTGATCAGTGCGTCAGAATACATGCAGGCCAGGGAAACGAAACCAACAACCCCATGAATCTCTTTAACAATAGCAATACAAATACGCGCTTTTTTTTTCCTGCGGGACGGGAGAAGACACAAAGTCAATGCATCTCTATTATTGTGCGGGAATAAATTCTCCGAGTTTTGCGGGTGCGGGCGGGAGTGGACATACATATTGCGGGAGCGGGCGGGAGTGTAACACATACGTTGCGGGAGCGGGCGGTAATGGTCAGAAATTCGGCGGGCGCGGGCGGGAGCGGGATGAAGAAAACAGTCCCGCGCAGGACTCTAATTCCAAGGTCAAGGTGAGATTTTTTTTTTTTTTTTTTTTTTTTTTTTGAAGGGTCACTTAAGTTCTCTGCATCACATTGCTAGCTAATAGCCTCATGGCCCCTTTTGTTTCAGACCCTGCTGTGTAAAATATTAGTTTTGATTCTATCGTGCCTCCTTTTTGCCAGCCATGCTCCCTGTTGTTGACTTTATGCCACTGAAGAAGAGGAGCAGGAAGAAGATATTCTTCCACCCTACCTTGTCTAAAAATGGTATACTGTGTAGAAAATGATGGGCGCATGTACAGTGCAATCAACTAGTGCTTTTCTTTGACAATGCCAGCATGAGAGGGAGAGAGTGCCTTTTAATAAAAGTACATCATGTGCCTTCTCAGAAAATCGGAGCTTTTCACCTTTTCAGACTTGAAATACTGTGTAAAGTGAAAAGATCCTGTCCTGAGGACAGATTTTTCCAGAATAATTTTTTTTTTATGGCAGACTGCTAGTAATATCAGCTGAGCTGTTGTGTCATGTGTTTATAGCAAAAAGGAATGTCATACGTGTTTTATGCAGGCTTAAATTTGCATGCATTGTTCTACTGTGTACATCATTTACATGTGTACATTCTCATGTGTACGTTTACATTCATGTAACGTTAAAGATGCGCTCACATGAGATGAAGAGTCATCATATAAGTTGCTTAATAAAAGCGATTTTATTTTACATGGAGCGGATCAAATTTAGACAGAAAAAAAATAACATTCTGTTATCATGAATATTGCTTCTTGATCTTTTTGAGATAAAGTGAAATCTGCAGAGAGAGAAACCCCGCTCCCTATTATCAGCTTTACTGAAAGAGTGTTACCTTCTTGCTTGCTGTAATGTATCAGAGACTCATAATTCCAGATAGGCCCTATACTCCTAACCAGCACAGTCCTCATAAAAGTAGATTGATAATTATCCCTTATCCCTTAAATTATTTGTTTTTGGTTTAACAAAGATTTTGTTTCTAACATCTACTATGTAAATAAGCACTCCTAAAAACCTTAATGAGCAATTATCACCAGTTCCTTTAATTGCATATGACACATCAGTGATCAAGTAAAGACAAGCAGTCAGCAAGCCATTTAGCACAAGGAATTGTGGATTTTTTTATATGCTTGATGAGAACTTTGAGGGATGTAATGATGACATCTGCTTTACTGGTGCTTGTCTAATGAAGCAAAGGTTGTCCTATTCACACATACACCGTTCACACGAGTGCTCTGTTCCAAAATGAAATATTCAATACCAAAATGTATTGATAATCATTTTTTAAATATGCTGAACAATCCCTTATTTTACTTAATGACGTTTTTTTTTTTTTTTTTTTTGCTATTCATTATTGTGCTACTTTAAATATTTTTCTTACGACATGGGCTTTTCCACTCACACAGTATGTGACGATACTTTCAACTATAGTCGCCATTGGTAACAATCTCTGTGAGATTTACATATGGGGTTTCAGGAATGAACAGGATTTGTGAACCAATGACTTTCACAAAATGGTTCAGTCAAAAAGATTCATAAAAGTTTATGGAAATGGCTGTGTGCTGCTGGCAATTTGAATCACATTCACTTAGTCAGTGAGTTCTAATTCCCTCACTGAACTGCGAGTCACTTTTCGGTTACATCTGATCGAAATGAACCGGGAACCAGTACTGTGTATATTTCCGGTTCATAAGACAAGTCGTGTAATTAAAGATTCATATTTAAAGCATTATAGTCAGTTAATAATGGTACTCTATAAACATGACATTTTTTGCAACAATTTTACCTTGACAGTTTAGCATTTGAGGTTCAACTGTGAGGTTGTTTGACAGTCACAAAGTTTAGAGCTACAAAAACTCATGCATCATTAAACTAATAAAATACATTACAGTGTGATTCTTTTACGCGTGTATTGTGCAGATAAAGAGAATGCATCCGTCTCTGTGATGAGAGAAAAGCTTGTTTTATTTGATTGAGATTCATCACATAAAAAGCCTCCCTAACAAATAACCGTTATTGCAGGACGAGAGCTGTGTGACGCCGGATACCATTATTCAACCCAACAGAGGCCCCGAAATTTGCTAGCTACCATGATAACAATAGTAGACGCTGTATTGCTGTCATGCTAGTCAATCAATTGTGCAGGCCAGAGGGCTCTGTGCCACTGTAGTCTCCTTATTGATGCTTTTTGAATGCTTTATCCATCACATTAGAAGCAAGCCTGTTTGAAATATAACAAATAAAGGCAAGATGACAGCGCGAATAGAAAGGCACCCTCTTCCCGCTCAGCACCGCTGATCAGGTCAAGCAGACAAAAGCCAGGGAATGATGTGTGGGGCTTTTTCTGAGAAAGTGTGTGCGTACGAGCGGAGCTTCTCGCCTGGACCAGCGAGACCTCTTATCTCGCCTTTGCAGGCCCTGTGAGGTGGGATGCGTCCTCTTTCATTAATATACTTCACACCTCCTCTGCTTTAATGGCTTTAGGTGTGCCCAGTGCCTGATGGGAGAAACAGGTGGGGCTTCTTGGTGAGCCTGACAGCTCCTGAGAAAATTTCTCATTTTAGCTACCTCGTTGCTTCGCTCTCTCTTTTTCTAAGAGAGCCATCAATCATGCATGTATGCCTTTGTTTGTAACCTTAGCTGCTTGATCCCAGAAGATCCATCAAGTTAGAGTACAGTACATTAAGTTAAACAGTAATGACATTGAAATATAGTGCTGCTTCTTTCTAGTAAGGCCTCTTAAAGGAAAGCCATATTTAGTTAGCACAAATGTAGAGGAAATTATATGAGCGAGAGTTAATACACGTCATGAAAAAACAATACCTCAGATGGAGGTTTATAGGTTTGTTTCTGGGTAACATTAAAGAAACTATAGAGGACCATTTTGATGAGGAACATTGATTCTGTTTGCCCTTTTTGTGTGTTCAGTCCAATTTAACAATATTACAGTTTTTCTCGATTGCTTAAACACTATAACCAGGCTTTTGAACTAAAATTTCAAAACCATAATGCCATTTATCAAAAAGCACACCCATTTCACTGAACTATGAACACTATTCCCCTGTTTTGACACATTAGTCAGATTTGTTGAACTGTCACAGCAAAACTCTACACACAAATCCCTTCATTTCTCATTGCCTACACCACGTGGTCATTTAGAAAGCACTAGCATTCAAAATTGTTCACTCAAGTCAGCTCAGCTTCAGCTCAGTTAGCACAAAATTACCCAGGTGAAAACACTAAGAGTCAAAATTGAACACACATCAGTCAGATCCTTCAATAGATAGATAAAAGGTTGTAGAATCTTTTATAATATTTAAAAATCAGTTTACTGAGTTTTGGAACAATGGATCCACAGAGAAATTAAGCAATAGGTCGTGGAGGGGGAGGGAGAGGAGGAGGAGGAGGGAGAGGAGGAGGAGGAGGAGGGAGAGGAAGAGGAGGAGGAGGAGGGGGAGGAGGAGGAGGAGGAATAGGAGAAGGAAGAGGATGAGGAAGAGGAGGAAGGGCAAGGGCAAGAAGACAAGCAGTCTCGGATGAAATTCAAGCCACTTTAGTTGGCCATGTTCTTGTCCATGGTATGACTATGAGGGAGGCTGGGCAACGAGTACAGCCAAATTTGAGTCGCTTCACCGTCGGATCATCAGAACCTTCAGGAAGGTGTGGTGGCAAACAGATTTCTATCACTGAA